ATATAGTACCAAATTACCGTTGGCTTAAAAGGCAAATTATTACTCGGCAGAGATATAACTTATAACTGCTTTCGCATAAATTGACTTCATTGATATACTGTAACCAATATTATACTAGAAGTAAACATATACTAATAAAATAGCATTATCCCACGTTTATAATTCAACTTAATAGACACCATATTTACAGAGATTCATATCATTTTCAGTGAACCGGATCAGACCGTACGATTCGAATTGGTTGATTAGTGTTTCTGTAGATTCGAATTCGGGGATTATTAATTTGGATTTTGCGTATTTTCAAGGTAACGATCTTACGATTCCAATTTGTTGATTAGTGTTCTTGTTAGATTCGAATTCGTTGTATGTCCATTTGGATCGATTTTGAAAATTTATTTAAAACGATCATTATGCTCCACTACAAACAAAATATAACACTAATTATATATCGAGTACATTGCATAATTCAAATATTGATGGGCTTCCTCTTTAAAAAAATGTTTTTTCATTTGTTTTCACTAATGAAGTTTAGTGTTTTAGATGAAACCCACAATTTGAAACCTATTTTTCCATTTTTGATTTTAACGACGAACAAAACAAATCCGTAAAATTAAATAATAGAACAGTACATTGTACTTTTCGTCTAAAACTCACACATATTAATTTAAATTTGGATTATAATATGGCTAGCTACTGCATTCATATAAGCGTCAAACAAAAACAAACAGTTTTATWTGATTAAATTTATGTTATCAAAAATCTAATAAAAAATGAAGCAGTCGATTATGATATAGCTATGATATTCGTATATTCACTTGGTTACATGTACCGGTCTAACAAAARAAASAYTTTTATACGATTAAACTTTTTTTAATATCTACGATTAAACTCTTTAAATGCGATTGGTTTCTATTGAAAATTTAATCGAAGATGAAGTCAGTGAAAACTTCCATTCTTCGTATATCTTTTAGCTTCCCATACAAAAAGATTGTTGATTCTGAGACTTCGAACATAGGTTACTTGAGCTAAACCGGATTGGTTAAGCTCAATGGTTAACACACAATTGGAGATAACCGAGTCTGATTATTGAAGCTGGTTGTTGTTGATTTGAACCGGTTCCTTCTATCAATAAAAAGGAAACATAAAGTCAGTCACTCTCTCGATCATCACAAACACGAGAAAAATAGCACTAGAGAAAAAAAGAAGATCTGAGAGGTTTCTTGTTATCTTT